CTTAGATTGGTACCAGATAAAATAATTTTGTTATCAACATTAATACATTATGCTAATTTTCATCTTTGTAAGCGCATAAGACAGTGCAAATTATTTCTGTGACAGTCTTTTGAATAAATAATAATAATAAGTGTGTAAAGCTCCATTTTATCCCATACATAGTCAAAATATTGGGGGGATGATACAATGGACCATCCCCCCCCCCCTTGTCAAATATTGGGGGGATATATCCCCTCCATCCCTCAAGATGCTGATGAATATCCCGAAGAACTGGATTGAGGCAGTGAGAGTTCTGCTGAACTATTGTTTTTTTGGTGCCCCTAACCTTCAAACTGAATACTATTTGATAATACAGTTACAGCTTATCGTTTTTAGAAGAGTCGATCCTGAGAAGACTATCAACAACATGGCTCATATGCACATTAAATATTAAACACAGTGCACAATGCGTAAGATTCACGAGGGCGGCATAGTACTGTATTTGCTGTAAGTCCTCCAGTACAAAGATTATTATGATTTTATTTATTATTAATTCTAAGAATTGTTATTAAAATTGTAAAAAACGTGTTTTCAAAAATTAATTATTTTTTTTATTTGGTAAAATTAGATGGAATTTGTTCCGACTTCGATGGTGGATGGAGTGGGTGGAATCCTTATCCACTTTCAAGTTCTAGTTATCAATCGTGGAAGCGGTCTTCTGGGAAACTAACTGGAGATGATACAAATCGTTATTCTGGATCAGGTATGTTTGAAGTAGTCTATTATGTTATATGTGACAACCATTTACATAAAAATTATATTTATTATGGAATACTGTAAGCATTATGATTCATTTTGGAACTCTACTATTCATCCTACATTCACTTCCCTATGCGAGACCGATAAGTTCATTCTTTTGATGTCTAACCATAACCGTTATAATAAATGCATTCTTATACGTATCTATGTGCCGCACATTATTACCCCGGTCATTGGAATTAATGCCTGTGAAACATACTCCACAACTGCCGCTGCTGAGTACACAATGCCTACCAAGTACCCTCTTTAGACACCTGGGTGGAGAGAGACAATGTGGATAAAGTGTCTTGCCTAAAGGACACAAGCCAATGGACAGCGTAGCTTTTGAATTCCCGACACAGTGTTGAGAGACCAAATCACTACCGCAACGGCCAACCGTTGTCATTCAAATACAAAATTTGCTCACAACATACTGGAATCTTGACGTTATTTTGTTTAATAACCATTAGAAGAGTTAAGTTCGGTCTCATCTTTTAACACATTATGTTTATTATTATTTAAAATTGAGTTTTAATTAATTTCTCTATTGTCACAAACACTTATGTGTCTGTTGGCCTATGGCGACTCATACAACCATGCTTGCCAATGTTACCGTAATGTTGGGTGTGACGGAAATAATGATAATGTAATGTAAAGTATAGTAATTATCATGGTCATTTTTTTATTTAACTTCTGGTTACTTATGTATCATTTGTCTATGTTGACCTTTGTAGGATATACGTTGATATACTTGTTGTGGTATGGCCTTCCACAAGTAGGCCTACCAAACAGCATAATGAATGTCTCTTTGTTAAAGGAAGTAGTTTTGTCTTAATTAGGATACCGTAAACCTTAAAAATCTCGAAAGAATCCCAGAGGCTCTATTGTTTTTTATTTAAGACCCGTGGAGAGGCTTCTTTTCTGGATATCGGACTTCTTTTTGCGGTGGGCTTCTTTTTGAGATTACTTTTGCAAACTAAAGAGGGGCCTCTTTCTAAACTTATGCCGTAGATATTGGAAAATGACTATAAAGCAATAGGACTCTCAAGATAAATTTCAACCATAACGAAAATAAAAACATAATCTCTTTTTAAATCACCAAAACATGTTATGGACAATCTACTATGTGACATCCATTTACATATATATTACATAATTAATCATCATAAAATTACAAATAATATAGGTCTATGTATAAATTAAAGGTGTGTGCATTTAATCTTATTTAATCATACTTAATAATTTTCAATTTTCTAGCCAATTTAATATAAAAGGAATAGTTTCTACCTAAACCCCAGCTAAAGATGCATTGTCTATTAAAAGACGAGTTTCCTATGACCTGATTTAAGCATAAAATTTTGTTGACAAAATCCACTGAACTTAATCATTGATATACATAAAAGATATGTTCATCCTGGGCCAAGGAAAAGTAGTATTGAATTGGAGGTGGGCTTTAGAGAGAGTTTTCCTACAAAATGAACCATAATGATGATGTTATGATGATGATGATCATAAGTATGTCATGAAGATTCTGTGTCATGATGATGATAATGATATTGAAGATGATAATTGATACTATATTGATAATGGTAATTTTATACCATAGTAGTAGTAAATGGAAGAATGGTAATAGTAATGATAATGCATGTTTAACTATTATTACCTTTTGCATTATTAGTCTTCCTTCTTTTATCTGTTTGCTTTCTGTGGTGCTGTTGTTTTTTTGTTTTTTTTCATTTGGCGTAGCCCAAACATAGTACTTTTTCCGTTGGCGTGTTTTCACGTTTCCTTGTTGTTTGTTCTGTCTCGTCTCTTTCCACTTTCCTTTTTTAAAACATTAACGGTGCTGTTTATGACTTTTCCACGCTTTTTGGTGCTGTTTTAAAAAAAATTCATTTATTGTACATATTCCTTATTATTGTGTGTATTCATGTATATCAATGCTAATATTTAGATGATTTCATATGACAATGTTTAAATAGTTAAATCTTTATCAACAATTTGTGAAATGCGTATAAATGATCCTGTCCCTATTCTCTGGACTCACAACTATTCAATTGTTTTGGTTAGTGCAATATTTATGGTGTCATCGGTTTTGCCTTTTGTTGTTTGTTCCTTCATATCGAATAAATCAAATTAAACAAGGAAAATGCACAGCCCTTATCTCAAAGTTGAGAGATCGAGGCGTTCAAAGAATAGTCTTGAGATGGAAAATGGTCTTTCGAGAATACTGTACTAAACATAAATTATATTATCTGTTTTTTTTTAACAAACATTTTGATTATGTTTTGTATTTGATTAGTTACTGTTAATTCTTTTTTTTTTTTAAAGAACGTTAATATTTAGACATAGTAACACTTTTGTAGGCTGATAAACTTTAACCATGGACCTATTAATGATAACAAAGCATTATAATAAATTCAAATGGTATTATTTTTATTATTACTTTTGTTTTTTATGTTTATTATTTTATTTAATCAAATTTTAACCATAATAAAAGTACAAAAAGTCAAATAAAAACAATATGTAAAGAGAAACCAAAGGTACTGAATACCTATACAAAATTTGGTAATCAATGAAACAAACACTGAAAAAAGAAGTTACATTGTACAATTAGTAGGCCTAAATCTACAATAACTATAATATTGTCTACATTAAAATTATTCAATCGTGTATATTTAAAAAAAAGAAGCTGAATTTTGGAAGCATGTTCAGATATATTATACTTACGAATTTCACCAGGTAGCGAGTAGCACGTGGAGTATAGAATTAAATAAAGACTCAGTTTTGCAGCTACTGATTTAAAAACGCGTGCCTACAAACGCTGAACTACAAGTAATACGTTGTGGATGATGAATAGAAAACCAATGATCAAAATTAATTTTATTTGACTTTTAAAATGAATAAAGGAATCAAATATATGTTGTTCTAATTATCCAGATGATTACTATACGTATATTCAGTCGTCTTCTGGTAACTCTCAGCGGTATGGATATTTAGATAGTGCCACACTACCTACTACCTGGAGTGATGGTTGCATTGAATTCTACTACTACATGAATGGACATGCAACTCAATACTTAAATGTTTACCATTACACTGGTGGAAAGGCCCTGATGCTGTTGTACTACTCAGGCACTGGGTGGCAGTATGGTCGTGTACAATTTACCGACGGCAGTTCTTCTAACAAAATAAGGTTTAGAGGGAGAGTTGACCATGGAAGCACTAGCAGTAAAACAATTATTGCGATTGATAATATTTATATCAGTGAAGGAAAATGCTTGCATACCCAAGGTGAGGTTTAAATAGGCACGACCAATCAGCTGTTTTTTCAAAATGCAAAATATACATTATAATAATATTGTTATTATTATCATCATCACAATAATCATTACCAGTATTAGTACTATAGTATTAGTACTACTAGTATTAGCATTAGTATTAGTATTAGTACAGTACAAAGTATTAGTATTAATGTTATGATTGTTGTTATTTATTGTTTTTATTGTTGTTATTGTTGCCATTATTATCGCTATTTTCATCTCTAATTTTTTTATACACAAAATAGGTGTTTGACAAATTTTTAAATATATATAAACTATGGTTGAGGGTAGGGGCGGGGGTAGAAGAAAGAGAATTATTTATTATTTGAGTTACAACATCTTGTTAGCATGTCATATAAATTATAAATTAATTAGCGAATTATTTATTTTTTTGTTGAATTCATAACTTAATGTTCCCTAATTAAATTGACTTATAGTAGATTTATTCTATTTTATTTTTCTTTTTTTTTAATGTGTTTGTGATGTGTTTGTGACGTAGTTTTAATATTTTTCTCCCCTTTTGATAAATTTCAATTTTGATTTGACTTATGTTAATGAAATATTGCAATAAAGTTCTTTGTATTTTGAATTTCATAAATCAATGTAAAATTGAAGAAACACTGAAGCTGACTATTATATTTTGTGTAATTGCGAAAACGTGTCAGTGCCCCCCCCCCCCCCACCAAGGCTATTAAAGTATTAGTATTATTAATAGTACCGGTGGTATTAAAAATGTGAATAGTAAATACCAGTTTGTGTGATTAAAACATAAACCTTCATTATTAAACTGAAAGGTCCACTGATTAATCTCAGATAAGAAAGTATAATACATACTCCAAGTATTGAAATACACGGCATCGTGTTGGGATTCAATATTGCGACATTAATTATGTCATCATCAGGAATGAAAAAATTATCCATATTAGCAAGCTTATATGCACTAGTACCAAAAGTGTTTAGCCAATCAAAACATTACCTCTAGTAGGTGACATAGCAGTGATTTAAACAAAAGATCAAAGCATTCTTACTCTAATGATCAAAGATACCTAAAAAAACAAAGATACCTACAAAAACAAAGCTTCAAAAGAGCTTTCTTTGTTTTTGTAGGTATCTTTGATCATTAGAGTAAGAATGCTTTGATCTTTTGTTTAAATCACTGCTATGTCACTTACTAGAGGTAATGTTTTGATTGGTTAAACACTTTTGGTACTAGTGCATATAAGCTTGCTAATATGGGTAATTTTTTCATTCCTGATGATGACATAATTAATGTCGAAATATTGAATCCCAACACGATGGCGTGTATTTCAATACTTGGAGTATGTATTATACTTTCATTATTAAACAATTTTAATAATGAATATATTATTTACAGATGCAACTGTGCCTCCTACAAGTAATATTAACTTGTCAACATTACAAGGTAAAAATAGTATTTTCCTTTTGTAAAATATGTGTTTTCAATTTGTTTTGTTTTTGGTGTTTTTGTTATTTTTTTATTCACCCCCACACCCCCCCCCCCAACTTAAAAAGGCTCAAAATGACTTCTAGTTGTTTGCTTATTTTTCAAATAAATAAATACATTATATTTATATGCCATGATATGCTTGCATCAATGCTGAAACACTTCAAAGCCTAACAGCAATGCAATTTAAGGGATATAAGCATGGCCGGCCGAGAATGGTCAACATATATTTTGAATCTTAGCCAAAAATTCAATAACAGAATGGAAACCGTTGGCCAAACCACCTTACAAGGGCCTTACAAATGATATAAGTCCTTTAGAAATTAGCATTTTATACTTGTCGGTATCGTAAAATGTCTGTTTCGGATCACATTGAGATAAACTATTTAAATACGATAGTGACTAAAATGCTTTCTTTATGTGAATTTGTTCTTAAAATAATTGCCTAAAACATTATAAAATTGTGTACTTTATTTTACAACACAGAGCATTTTTATACAACACAGAGTATAATGCACCTAAAGCACTGTGTGTATTTTGCTTTTCTCATAGATGGGCGAACGACATCACCAAGCATGGAGTCAAAACTTAGTAAGTTAAATTCTTAATTATATATTATAGCTTGTTAGGTAATTAACAATATTTAATTTTTAATTGAATTTTCCAATTTTAATTATTTTAACAATGTAATTAATTATAAGTATATTTTTGTAGTTTCTCTATATAATAATTTGTAATCTGATTGTATAATGCTGCCTGGTTTCATTGTATTTTATCAATTTTTATGTAAAGCGTATTGAACAGCATTCTGAAAATGCGCTATATAAATTCATATTATTATATTATTATTAAGTAAAAGATGAAAAGCTCAATCTGTGAAGAACGACATATGATAATATTAACTGGTTATTTACTTGTATAACAATAATTTTGCAGATGTCATTTGCAGTGATTCGTACATGACAGTGTATTTGGATCCTTCAATTAGTAAAGACGATAACGTTCACTTTCTTGACCCAACATGTACGGCTGCCGGAATTGTTTATCGAAACGACAGTCGGTGGATTTATTTATATACTCGCTATGACCAATGCCAAACCACACTGACGGTAAAATGAAAATTACTTGCATTCCAATTATCATTTTAAGTTTATTTACAATTGTGGCAAAAAGATTAGCTGTGCACTACTGATGCATTTTATTGAGAGCATTAATATTGATATCTCTCATAAGAATAACATTTGTTATTAAATTATCCGTCCGCACTAGATACGAGACAGGCTTTAAATTGACGAGGTCAGTAAATAACTATGGAAATCAAATGTTTGAAGTAATTTTAACTGCTTGGACAGTGAGCCTCAATGAGAAAGCTCTCAATATTTCTGGTTAGCATACAAACATAACTAAGCTCTTTGAACTGTGTTGGGATGTACAGACCAACCGGTCTCTTACGCTTATTCCTGTAATAGGGTGTGGCCTATAATAATACAAGGAGAGTTGTCTCTCTGTTATGTGATATTGAAAATTATATAGAAATACATATTTCTGAGGCACAAACAATCGAACAAAAATCAAATTAAATCAAAATAAAATTAAGTTTTATTGAATATCTACAATGACGACCTACTAAGAAAAAAAAATACATTTTAGTACCTCACTGGATAACAGTGCCAGTGCCAACAATAGACATTCCCAGACCAAGAGAAGAGTCCAAGATTAAACAATTTTTATTCGACTCATACTAAGTATTTCATCATTCTTTTATGAAATTTTATCAATTTGTTTAATTGTGTACAAAATCTATGTATAATAATATTTTAATCTCTCTTGGTCTTTCACTCGTTTACTCGTTTTAATATGCATATTATAGCTAAGCATGTAGTTAAGTTTACTGGAGCTCCAACCTTTGTTATCGTGGCTTTGTTGCTTTGGGGCTCCAAGGCACATTTGTCTGAATAAATAAATAAATAAGTAAATAAAAATAAAATAAATGAATACCTTATAACGTTTTGGATATCAAAACTTCAAAGACATGTATTTCATATTGATCTACAATATTATAGTCATTTCACTTCATTCATTTGTCTCAATACATGAAATTACCAAACACGAATACAATAGCATACGATAACAGGAAGGTAAAACGCAAAACAAGGACACCACCCCCCCCCCTCCCCCCTCAAAAAAGCTAACTAAATCACTTAGGCCTATTATAGGCCTAACGATACCAACTAATTATTATATATGTTTTTCTTTAGTCGACTTTATGGTCAACAACCTACCGTAATCAGGTTATTGTATCTACGAACACGAACTATGAGATATACCGAAAGGAGGATCTTCACTTTACGGTAGAATGTGAGGTTAAAAATAGAGGGAGAGCCGCTGTGGACTTTGCTCCAGAGGGTGCTGGTGAAGACTATTTCAAGCGAGAAAGTGGGAATTTGACGTTTACGATGGCGCTGTTTACCAATAGTAGTTACTCTACCCCCTATTCCAGTTGGCAGTATCCTGTAAAACTGGACCTTGGTAGTAAAGTATTCGTTGGTGCAAGCGTGCAAACGTTCGGCAATGACATGGTCCTGTTTGCTGATTCCTGTAAGGCGACACCTAACCCCGACTCAGACGCAAGTCCACAATACCAACTGATCGAAAATGGGTAACATTTATAGATTGAAATTCAATAACAACCCATCAATCAACCAATATTGTAGAGTGATCAACAGCAAAATAAATTTTTGTCACCAAACAAGCCTCATACGGATTGATATTATCGAAATGATACTATCCACATACTTGGCAATTATATCACTAGACGTTTATTGGAGATAATGTGAAAGTCATACAGGTTTATAATTAATTTATTGTTTAAAATATTTTTTGATCTGTTTTGGAAACGACAAACACTGAAATACCATTTTATCTATCTTACTACAGTTGTGGTGTAGATTCAACAGTTGATTTTGATGGCCAATCAACGATCAACAAAACATCTCGTGTCTTCTTTTCATTTGAAACTTTTGGCTTCAGGGATTATTCAACGGTAGGCCTATATTTTAGAATTAGTGTTCCAAAATATATAGAAGTTTTTTTTTTTTTTTTTTTTAACTTTTATTATAAATAATGCTTTGACCAAAAGGTAATACCATATACTGTACCATAATATACTTTGGTATGGAGATAAACATACCATATTCGAGTATACGCTTACTTTGAATTTACAACCACCCCTTTCCTACCCCCTTTAATGTCATAAAGGCATTTGGAATAAACACTGACTTCGAATTGCCCCGGAGCGTATGTTTTTCCCCCTCAAATAAAACTCCATTATATTGTGAAATAAACTAAGCCCTGAGCAACTAAACACTATTCTATTTCTTAACTTTAGTAGAATTGAATTTACTGTATTACTAACCTGGAATAAAGCAATAGTGATTATTCAGTAAATATTTTGACAATAATTTTATATTGTGCTTTACATTTCCAGTGAAATGATATTCGTATCAAATGTACAACTAAATGTAGACGCCTCCCTCTCGCCCTCTCAAAAATCCCCCAGAAAATAAACGTCCCAGTGTCATTTGAATAAACACGATATGAATGTTGCGCTGTGCTTCAACCCCTCTATCTCAATAAAACTAGAACACCATCAAGTTGGATATAGAATATTGTTTTAGTTCAGTTCTCTGGTTACTCTTCAATCAAGTTCACTATCAATACCTCACAATCAGTATTTTATCATCACACTGTAGCACAGGACAAGACTTGAGGCTATACCTATAAAGCAAGCATAATAATACAGGATGATAGTTAAATGTATTCCTCTTAAAAAAATAATAATTCTAAAATATCTTTTATGTGTACAGTACATCGATATTTATAAGTATAAACAACAGCCTAAGGTATTATACTTACATTCAACCAACACTTGTCATTGATTTGTAGGCATAGTGTGACGTTAGCAAATTTTAATTACTACGCCCTCTTATAACAATTCGTTATCATTTTACATAAAATGATTACTGCTACTACACTGCTGTTACTTTACCTGGTTATCTGGGTATTGGTCTGCCCTTCATGAGCTAAAAATTAAAAATCTCAATGCTTTCCAAATATTATTTACGCACTCTTCTCTCTCAGACCAGGGCAGCCAAAACTAAGGCCCTTTTCAATCTGTCAAATGGTCAATCTATTCCCCACGTATACAGTAATCATTTGCATAATAATTTGAATAAAAATAGTTGGCCTCTGTAGGTTTAAAAGTTATAAAAGAAAATTACCCTTAAGTCAAACTTAAGAACTAACAAGTTCTGAAGGAGACGAGAAGTTTCAAACAATGCAGAGTCACTCAACTTTATAATGTTTTACGCCATCTAAAACATAATAGATTTGTTTTTAATACTTTAAAATTCCTCTAAGGTGTTTGTACATTGCCAATTATTTGTTTGCAATGGGAGTGATGTCCAATGTCGTAGGGACTGCCAGCAACGTGGACGCCGTGATGTATCTGCACCGAACAAACTATCTGATACGATTCCGATTGCTATTGGACCTGTGATACTAAAGCGACCAGACGACGGTTTAGATGTTATCCTTGACACCAAAGGTACAACATAATTTATTTGTGTATTTAATTTCTTAGGGTGGATCAAAGGGGGTGCCGTTGGTGCGACCTAAACTAACTTTAGAATAAATTGCAATTTATTTATTGCATTTTAAAACAAAATTAAATCATATCACAAGTCAATGAATCTTTCCGGAGTGTCAGTTTAATAACTGACCAATCAGGAAACACACGTGTAGTCGCAAATGCACGTGTTTGCGAATGTTTTACACAGTCACTCATGTGCACTTAAAATACCCATTACATCTTTTGAAACGAGTAGGGGGATACCCCGGCGATGTACTGGTCCACACATCTCCTGTTACCCTGCAGGATGTACCTTCGTAAAAAAAAAAAAAAAAAAAAAAAACTCACGATTATTGTGTTTCATCCTCTTTTATATTTAGTGTAGGCATACAGTTAGCACAAAGTACCAAGT